CTTTTTTAAGACCAAGTACAAGTACTTTCCCGCAGGTACTTGCCGATGCCAATTACCGATACGGTAGTCCTGGTCCTCCCCTGTCAGTAGGCATCGGGATCACCCAGCTTTGGACACAGGTAGTTCTGCCCATGGGGCTGTCCATGGCTGTGCCTGTGCCGGGAAGGAGGAGGAGATAAAGAACCAGGCAGGCACTGCCATGGACAGCTACTTGCAGGTCACCAGCAAGCTGCCAAGGTCCCCACAAGCGCAGGTGCTCAGCAGCTGCTGCGGTTTAAAAATTTACCGTTATCTGGCTCAAGAATCGGGGCATTTTCACAAGTACAAGTACTTGTGAAAATGCCTGGTATCGGCCCCGATACTGCTACTAGTATCGGCCCCGATACCGATACTAGTATCGGTATCTGGACATCCCTACTTCAAATTATTGGCCCTTGTGACTCAACTGACCAGTTGCAAAGGCTATGCACTTTATTATAGGGTGTTCTTTATTTCTAGTGGTGAACCAGTGAAGTTGTCATCAAAAACATCTTTGATTCAAGAACTTCACAAATCCCAGGGATACGCCTTAAAGTGTATTTCCACATTCTTAGCCAAATTGGTATAACACCTATTTTATATTTGTTATACACTATATTGCCAAAAGTATTGGGACACCCCTTTAAATCATTGGATTCAGGTGTTCCAATCACCTCCATGGCCACAGGTGTATAAAATCAAGTACTTAGGCATGCAGACTGCTTCTACAAACATTTGTGAAAGAATGGGTCGCTCTCAGGAACTCAGTGACTTCAAGCGTGGTACTGTGATAGGTCGCCACCTGTGCAATAAGTCCATCCATGACATTTCCTTGCTACTAAATATTCAACATCAGCGCACAGCGCGCGGAAGTCGCCAACTGTCTGCATAGTCAGTAGCTACAGACCTCCAAACTTCGTGTGGCCTTCAGATTGGCACAACAACAGTGCATAGAGAGCTTCATGGAATGGGTTTCAATGGCCGAGCAGCTGCATCCAAACCTTACATCACCAAATGCAATTCAAAGCGTTGGATGCGGTGGTGTAAAGCACGCTGCCACTGGACTCTAGACAAGTGGAGACGTGTTCTCTGCAGTGATGAATGACGCTTCTTTTTATGGCAATCCGATGGATGTGTCTGGGTTTTGCGGTTGCCAGGAGAACGGTACTTGCCTGACTGCATTGTGCCAAATATAAAGTTTGGTGGAGGGGGGATTATGGTGTGGGGTTGTTTTTCAGGGGTTGGGCTTGGCCCCTTTGTTCCAGTGAAGGGAACTCTTAAGGCATCAGCATACCAAGACATTTTAGACAATTTCATGGTCCCAACTTTGTGGGAACAGTTTAGGGATGGCCCCTTCCTGTTCCAACATGACTGCACACCAGTGCACAAAGCAAGGTCCATAAAGACATGTATGAGCGAGTTTGGGGTGGAGGAACTTGACTGGCCTGCACAGAGTCCTGAACTCAACACCTTTGGGATGAATTAGAGCGGAGACTGTGAGCCAGGCCTTCTCGTCCAACATCAGTACCTGACCTCACAAATGCGCTTCTGGAAGAATGGTCAAACGATCCCATAGACACACTCCTGAACCTTGTGGATAGCCTTCCCAGAAGAATTCAAGCTGTAAAGGGTGGGCCAACTCAATATTGAACCCTACGGACTAAGACTGCGATGCCATTAAAGTTCATGTGTGAGTAAAGGCAGGCGTCCCAATACTTTTGGCAATATAGTGTATGTTCCCATTCACATTGCATAAGCTAAGAAAAAAAATGCTCCTTGCAGTTTAAGTTGCTTTTACTTGTGTTCGGGTTTCTACTTAACCTCTTAAGGGTTAAAATTTCAACTTACCTCTCCTTTTTAATGTTAGGAGGATCTGTGAGGGGTGAGGGGCTTCTCCACTGTTTGCTAATGGAGTTAGTAGGAGACACACAGTCCTGCAATTTCGGTCTAAATCTTTCTATAAGGACAGATCACTGTGAAGGTGCACAGAAAAACCTGGAATCAGCCATGTTGGCTTCTGCAGCAAACCATCTGATAGGTAAGAAACAGTTTTTTACATTATTTTGCATTATGCTGCGTGAGTGGGAAATACATAAAAACATAAAGAGGAGTTTTCTAATTTGACTGGAAAAGTGGAAATACACTTTAAATACATGATAAACCCAGATCTGATAACTACTTCTAAATATCTATTTACAAATAAGAGATTTCCAATACAACACATTTCTTTGATCTGTAGAAAATGTATAAAATCATGTAGCATACACTGCTGATTCAATGATGGTTATCAAACCAATTCAGATTTCCCTACTTCTGTATAGATGAAATGCTCAAGTAAATTTTACATATAACAATTAATGCCATTCATTGTCTGCAATGAATAAAGTAAATGCACACATACACAAAATAAGTCCTTACTCTCTAAACATATTGGTAACAGAAACAATAGCAAAAACATTGCTCACAATTCTATTCTTAATTTTGTTTCTTGGGGTGGGGGTGCAAAGCCAGAAACACGGTTATAGCAGTTGTATTTTCGGTTTCATTTATACTGTGATTTTAGAGATGGGCATACTATCCTTTCCAAGGCCTATGCTTTGTACTATTTGCCACATAACTGAAGAGCCCAGGGAGAGCTGGGAGGACTACCCTTTAGTCATTGCTGTGTGAAGTCTGACGGTGGGGAAGCAGAGCACTGATGGCATTGCAACTATGAGGAGGTCCTGCAAAACCATAGGAAGCATGAGCTATGGCTCTGTAGGGACTCTGGAAGATTGTCAATGCCATCCCACTGAACAACAATGCAGTGAGTCACTGACCCAGGGCACATGATGAGAGAGCCCATGCATTTGCCCCAGGTGTTCTGGTCTAGCTTCTTGTTTTAAGTCTTAACTGGCTATAGCTGGTGGCAGGGCAGCCATCAGGGGGGTACGGCAGATACTCATGTAAGGGGCCCTGGCAGCCTGGGGGGCCCGTCCGGGACCCTTACATGAGTATCGGCCGATGGTGAAAGGCAAGGAGGCGGCCGGGCCCCCGCAGAGCCGGAGGAGTCTTGGCCCTAGCAGCGCAGGGTCCCAGCATTGCCGATCCAGCGGCTTCTAGACTGGCTGGGCCCATATCAGCGCCAGGAGCAGGTAAGAGGAGCTGGAAGGGAGGGAGATGCAGCCCTGACCAGACCACCTGAGACCCCTGCAGAGCCCACCATAGAGAGTCTCAGATGTTGGGCTCTGATGGGTCACTCTCAGGTGGGTCCTGTGTCCAGTGCGTCACTAAGCCCTGAGTCCGGCGGGTCACTAACCCCTGCATCCAGCAGGTCATTACTCGCCCTGAGTCCAGCGGGTCACTAAGCACTGAGTCCAGCGGGTCACTAAGCCCAGAGTCCAGTGGGTCACTAAGCCCAGAGTCCAGCGGGTCACTAATCCCTGTGTCCAGCGGGTCACTAAGCCCTGAATCGAGCGGGTCACTAAGCCTGAGTCCAGCGGGTCACTAAGCTCAGAGCCCAGCGGGTCACTAAGCCCAGAGTCCATCGGGTCACTAAGCCCAGAGTCCATCGGGGTCACTAAGCCCAGAGTCCAACGGGTCACTAAGCCCAGAGTCCAGCGGGTCACTAATCCCTGAGTCCAGCGGGTCACTAAGCTCAGAGTCCAGCGGGTCACTAAGCCCAGAGTCCAGCGTGTCACTAATCCCTGAGTCCAGCGGGTCACTAAGCTCAGAGTCCAGCGGGTCACTAAGCCCAGAGTCCATCGGGTCACTAAGCCCAGAGTCCATCGGGTCACTAAGCCCAGAGTCCATCGGGGTCACTAAGCCCAGAGTCCAGCGGGTCACTAAGCCCAGAGTCCAGCGGGTCACTAAGCCCAGAGTCCAGCGGGTCACTAAGCCCAGAGTCCAGCACGTCACTAAGCCCAGAGTCCAGCACGTCACTAAGCCCAGAGTCCAGCACGTCACTAAGCCCAGAGTCAAATCCATATACTGTTCTGCATTGCTGTATAAATGTATTGCTGGGATTTGTAGTCCCCCTACAGCTGGTGCCATTGTGCAGTAAAGTGTAATCTCCTCTGTACAGGGACTGATGTGACTGGCTCAGTGTTCTCTGTACAGCACTGCGGTATGTCAGAGCTATATACATGTATAATAATAATGATGTGTGACTAAAGGGGGGACATTAGAGTGTACGCTCCTCTGTACAGAGACTGATGTGACTGAGGCTGCAACAACTAATCGACTAAGTCAATTAAAATCGATGATGGAAAATGTTGTCAACGTTTTCCATCATCGATTAGTCGGCTTTCCATTAGTTGCCCCTGTTCACGGCTTCGCAGGGAGACTGCAGCGTGGGGGGAACAGCAGCTGCTGACAGTCCCAACATCTCAGGGGAAGAAAGTAAAGTAGCTATTATTATTTGAAAGGTTGTAAGAGAATAAAAGTAAGGATTCTAAGTAGATGCTATTGTGAATGCTGACACTTCATATTAGGTACATTTGGTACATGAAACTGTATTTAGTAGAGACAAGGTGAGTGACTTTACTAATGGCAAACCACTTCATTTGTATGTAAAAAGGAAAGAATAAGGGAGAAGTACTTGACTTGCAAATATATTCTTTTATGACAAGTGCTCTATTGACAGATAAGGTAGTGTCAGAGGATTGCACCATATGTAAACTGCGCACAAAAGAAGATACAAGAACCCAGAACAACAAAAAACAACACTACCAAGTGAATAAAGGGAGGTTCAACCACTCGTGATAGTAAGTAAAAAAAAAAAAAACTTCTGTGTTGTCTTCAAGAAGTAAAGGAAGAAACTTACTTTTAAGAAAACTGGTACAGAACAAGTACATCAAAATGGACTGTAATTACAATCTTCATATATTCAATATTTAAAGGAAACAAAAATTAAAAAAAAATTGTTTTCTAGAAAAAGAAAATCAGATCTGAGTTGGAACAGATTCTACTAAGTCTTATAAAACATACTTAAGTTCTTTAGCATGTCTAGACTACCAATCGCAGTTGTTGGGATTCACAGTGCACTTCTTGTAACAGGTTTAACCGGAAATATCTTTATCCTGATAGTTCATCTTCTAGACTGGCTTAAGACACGTGAGCACAATCCTTGCAACATCATCATCAACAGCATTGGGACTTTCAACATCTTCTTACAAGGAGCTGTTGCATTCCAAGAGATTTCTTCCGTCATGTTTCCAAAGCTCTACAGTCAAGCATATGTAGCTGTATCACTTGTAGGCATCACAACATCTCTGGTATTATCCAGTCTTTGGTGCGCTACTTGTCTATGTTTCTACTACTGCGTAAAGATCGTTAATATCAACAGACCTTTTCTGTACAAGCTGAAGGCAAAGCTTCCCAAAGTGGTACCTTGGCTAATAGTCTTCTCCACCATTCTATCTTGGTCATTTGGAATGACAGCCATATGGGACCTGTACCTTGACCTTTCCTTTTACCCAGTTAATATCACAGGAAATGTAACAATATTAATGTTTCAGGAGCATGGAAGCAGATGTAATTGTTTTTTTCAGATAAGCATGTTTCTTGCTTCTTTGGCCTTTGCTATAATTATCTTGACAGGTGGAGCTATCATAACCTCTCTGTGTAGACATATGTCAAGGATGAGACAGAATAATGAAGGGTCCGGCCATTCCAGAATTCAAACTCACTTATCAGCTGCTAAAACTGTGACTTCTCTCTTGCTACTTTACCTGGCTTTTTACATTACTTTTACTATAATAAGTTATCCCACATATATGATAGATGCCACAAACATTACAGTTGGTTTCAGTTTGATTGCTTGTTTTCCAACAATAAATTCTATCATTTTAATCTTGGGGAACAGGAAACTAAAAAACATTCTGAAGAAGATATTGGGTATGAAGTCAGGTGTGATCAATACTGAAGTCTCTGTTATTACGCATGATTAACTTGCACATAGCGCTGTGTATTAAAGCAAGTTAAGCCAATGCTTGAACTTGTTGATTATGTCCAACATGCAAATCTACTCCAATTGGAAGGGATATAAGTTTAGGGAGATCTGTTATTATTTTTGAGCACACAGTGTATTTTTTTGCTGGTTTTCTACAGTTGTAACAACCATTTATTTCAGTGTTCTGGAATAAATGTATTAGTTAGTTATTAGTTCTGAAATCTTTATTAGTTATGTGAAAGGTCCCAGGTTAGGTTAGCAACACTGAATCGATTGTTTCTTAGTAAATGGGGTAGTTTTTGGGCTGAATCTATTGTATGCACACCATTTTATTTCTAGCTTATAAAGTAATCATCTATCAAGCTAATATGTTTGAGTGGCATTTTTTTTGGATAGCCCTATTTTTTTAAATTTCTACCAATAAGATATTTGCTGTGAATTATTTAGTCTCTTCTTTTTAGATCACTACCCTTCTTTCTGTCCTTTAACTTTTTTTAATATACTGTATTCTTCCTTTTGGATCTTTTGACCTTCTTCCCCGCTCATCTTCCCTTTGATCTATTTTCTCTTGTCATGGTCAGCCTGTATGGGGTAATGCCACCCACTTTGTGGATAGACAGTGGTTTGTAAACCATAATTTGGCTGGTGTAAGTTACTGCTGCTTAAATTTTGAAGACTAAGCATGGTGGCCTGTAAATGGTTACCAATAGTTCCATTTGATAATAAAGGTTAAAATCTATTTCATTTTTTTTTTTTGGTTTAATATATTTTTATTATTATTTCCATTAAATACATTTACATTTACACATTTCAAAAATATACACAGGAATATAAAATTTTCCCTTATTGTATAAATATTAAGGATGACATATATTCATTAAAAAGGGTCTGTTCTATTGATTACTCTATTGTTCTTATTCGAAACACACATTTATTTATACCTCACATTCAGCATTAGCACATTTGCCACTATTTCTTCTACCTTTCCATCTACTACCCAATCTACCTTTAGAGGGAGGGGGGAACATCCCCAGTGTGAATTTGTGCAAACTACAATAGTGTTAATTTATCTTACCCTGTCCTTACCTATTTTCTCTATCCTACTTTCTTTTATTTCTCACACTATTCCTGTGATCCCTACCATAAATCTATTTCATGGTTAAAATATACTTAAACTCAATAAAGTGGCAGTGGCCTAAAGTTTTCCCACAATCTTTGTTGTTTGTTTACTTTATTATGTAGGTGTGTTGTTATGGTATGGTGGGTATTCATGAGATATACAATCCCATAACATAGCCCATTCTGAAGGACTAAGATATGGTCCACCTTATGCATTCAGTGCGACCATCAAAGATCTGCGCACAGAGAGAGATATTATGCACATGCTTGATGACAGGTAGCATACCATTTTGATGGTTTACTGCAACTTACCCAGATGTAAATAATATGATCACACTATTCTTTCCTATTTGCGGCTATGAAAAACCTTAAAGCTCTACTGTCTCTCTCCCCTCCTACCTTGTTTTTTCCACTTGATGCAACAATGATACAGTGGTAGGTAGTAGATGCGGATGTAGGGAGTCATCAATTGCTACTTTGTGAATACCCAATACATGTGTAGTTCTTGAGATGTATAAAGCCCTACTTCCCAAATATCATAATGGCTGATGGATAGGTTTAGATATGATACGAGAACAAGGATGTGTGCTGAGTAGTAATGATATTCATCTGTTTCATTTATTATGCACTGTCAGGAAGGTCTGGCTGCCGTCCATAGTAAAAGTGCTTCACGGATCGTTGCACGATATGTTGCATATAAATATGCACATAGAAAATAATTTGGTGTTCCCATCATGCACAATCGTGCGCAATAGTGTGCAATAATGAGCATGTTCAGAAGCCCGCTCCAGTACGTCAGGCATGGCACGCACGTTTGCACTCCCGTTCCACCTGCTGGCACCAGGCTAGAAGCAGCTGCTAGCTGCTGGAAGATCAGCAGCTGTATTCTGTGCTTGCTATCCTTGTTTACTGATATCTTGGATTTGACCTGGCTTGTCTCTTAACCCTGCTTGTCTGCCGCCTGCCTTCTGACCCCCGCCTGTCTTGACTACTCTTCTGCATTCAGATTTGGCCTTGCTTGCCCACAAGGTTCTGATTCGGCTTTCTTGTGACTACGCCTCTGCGTTATGCTTCTGCACCCCGTTGTCTGCCAGTTGCTGACCCGATCCGCCTGACTCTGATTCTGTCTTCTGTGCTGCCATCTGGCTTGCTGCTGACCATCTGGTTCCAAGAGTATCCTGAATCCAGCTACTCGCATCATCTCACAGCATCAACTGTTCTGCATATGCCACAGGCACTTGTGCCTCTCTCTGTTCTGTGCTTTTCCTGTAGCACCTCCAGACAAGAGCTGAGAGGGATAGCCTCACTCATCACTTCAGGTCATACTAGGTACGTGACATACACAGTATATAATGTCTGTTCATCCAGTCCTGGAATTTACACAGCGCTGCCATACATTCAGGGCAGGATACCTGATCTTACTCTGCTGTAGTTGTGTAACTCTAACACTGGGTTCACACCTTAGCGTATTGGAAACTTGCGTTTGCCGCGCGTTTCGTACCGCGCGGTTTTACCGCGATGAGCGGTAAAAGAAACGCGCGTCAAACACGAGTTTCCGAGGGGGTATCCGGCTGATAACAGCGGGATACGGGCGTCAATACGCCCCAAAGAAGCTCATGTACTTCATTGGGCGTATGGCGTTTTACCATGCGATCGAACGGGCGGTAAAACGCGCAGGTGAGAACCATGCCCATAGGCAAACATGGGTTTTCACCTGTTGCGCGTTTTACAGAGCGTAGGAACGCGCGGTAAAACGCTCAGGTGTGAACGGGGCCTTACAGTTCTTGCCCCTCCCTAGCCTGTGACTGGACAGGAAAGCAGCAGAATGATTAGCTCATCTCACTTTGATCGCTCCTCATAAGAGCATGCTTTTTTCACTGCAACACAACTGATAAGCTTCTTGTGCTGCTTCTACCTCCCCTAGTCTGAGCTCTGACGTATAGTAGGCTGCAAGATACCAAGGCTGCTGCTAAGTCAAACTGAGATGCTTATACTATTTGCATTTGAAAAGTATGTATTAAAACCTCACTCTAGGTAAAAAGTATTTTTTTTCACTCCTCCCTCCCTCCTACCTATAACCCAGCCTACTAGGCTTTTTTTACCCTAGCCCTCTGAAGTCAGATATACCAAAATGTATCCTATAGAGGAGGTGCGATAATGTCTGTCATTTATATCTGCCTGGGGTTCAGCTTTTAAAGTGAACTTATTTTTTTTTTAAGTAATAGAAATTTTTATTCCATGTTCTTATAAACATGAACTCTGCAGTTGCTGACTTGTTTTAAAAGATGCTAGCTCCCATACGGTCAGGCTAATTCTGGAACAAGCATAGATGATTTTTTAATTCACTGGCTTCATGCTTTTATGCAGGTGTAAAATGGAGAAGCATGAAACATGATATGAGGATGTCAGGGTGACATATAAAGCCAGTTTGCCACCTCTGGCACAGATGTTGTTAGTACGGAGTGCTTAGGATGATTACACCAACTATTCATAGGCACACCCAGGCATGTCTCCCTGCTAACAGGGTTTTGAGAATTAGTCTAGATAGGGACAGAACACAAACACCTCAGGATAAAATAAAAGCACATAATCTTAAAGCACATAACAGTACAAATAGTTAAATTTAACAAAAAGATATGCTTCTTTGGCTAATGATGCAGAATACAGCATAAATGGGCAAATGCTTAGAAAATGTGCAAGCTCTAAAGTGGCATAATCAATTCGTTCATGAGTATGTTCATATGAGGAACAAAATAGGGAAAAAATAAACAGTCTCCATTTAACTATAGGGCAGATAATCACTTGGTCACAGAGCTTCGTAGACTTTGCAATGGAGCTTGCATTCAAAATGCCTCATACTGTCATACATATAATAAATAGTAAGCAAATAACATTCCTTCTTTGCCACAGAGGGGAAGGTCACATAGCTTTTTTTGCTCAGTTGGAAGCCCCTTGCCAGTAGGCTATTGCTCTCTAGAGCCCACTTTTACCATAGCCAAGAAATGCAACCTAAGTTGCTGCTGAGCAATGATATATACTCTTTGCACTAGGTTTTCAAGCTGATACTGCCATCCTATACATGAAGGCTTCCAGCCCCCCTAGACACACTTGCATGGCTGTTGGAACCAACTGCACCGTTAGATCTGGTGGCACAAAACATTCCACTGGAAGTGCTACCTGAGCTTTGTGATCTGAGAATGCTTGTATGGAGTGCTGAGCTAATGTTAATACTTTTTTGCCAATCACCTTCTGCAAGAAGAATATTACAGTTTCTTCAAAAAATATTCCTTTATCTTGTATCTGGGAATCTCACATATATATTCTGCCGGCCTTGAAAATCAACTGAAATGAGTTTGTTGGCTTGGCAAGAAAAAAACTAATTGCCAATATTCAAGAAGAATTTGGGGGGAAATTGTTATTAACCCTTGCAGTGTGTCTAGGGGTTAAAAAAGTTATAATCACCCACACAATAATTTGAGCCAGCTTGTCCTTAGGCCAAATAGTAAAATATATCACCAGCACACCGTGGTCAAATCTTCAGAAAGTGATCATTTTATTGATGCACACACATCTTGTCACATTGCAATGTTTTCGGGGCCACTCGGGGTCCCTAAGAACCTGTATCTTGTTCTTAGGTCTTTTCCTAGAGCCTCTCTCGCCCTCCTCTGCTGCAGTCTAAGAATCCTTGTGCCAACACGTTTTGTACAAGTGTATAGACGTGATGCCGAGGAACATTCCATCTGTGCAGCTGATCAGGAGGCATGCTTCAGTGACTGGAGAAGCAGGGAGTTGTAGTTCCGGCGAGTATAATTTTTTTAGCACAAGCAGTTAATCCTTGCATTACCGGGGTGGCACCACTGCAAGAGTTAATAAAAATTTCCCCTGGAGTTCTTCTATATAAAGCATCTCTTTGGCTTGAAGTCTGATACTGAATGTGGGGAAACTCAAACTAATGCTACTAATAGCTAGATCTGTTTGATATTCTATATATGTTTTTCTTTGTTTATGCTAATACAGTTTTAGTACTATTGTTTTTTATTATCATAGACACTGGCTTAGTGCTTTATTATTTCAAGTTTCTATGACAGTTTGTCATGTGAGTAATTAACGTTAGGCTTCTTAAAGAGTATAAATACATGCAATTATTTGAAAGGTTAGATATTAGACTTTACAACAGCTAAGGCCACCAGCTGATTTTGAACAGCTGTAATAGAAGATGTAGTCCAACATGGGCAGCCTAAATCTATGATTGCAGATGTTACAAATAGACTGTCAGCTTGGTGTTTGAGGTGCAAAACATTTGATTCAATCAGATTACAGTTTAGTCTGTCCTGCTAGACGCCCCTACTCCTACGTTGTGTGAGGTATGGCTCATTTTTTTCATTATACTATGGATTGTAATACTTGTATATTTGCTTACTTTTCTTGGTGCTAATTCAAAAGAAGTTAAAGAAAAAGACTTAAAGTGACATTAAAGGCCCCCCCCCCCCTCTCAATGTTAGTGTAAGGACTTACCTTAAATCATGCCTCTTAATCAGATCTTCTTCTTCTTTACTTTGCTTTTCAGCTGTCCCTCCAGCACTGGTGCGGGTCTCCGATCCAGCGTTGACTCCTCTGTCCTCCTCTTCTCTCTTCTCCCACAGAGCCTGTGCGAGGGCTCCTCCATAGACTTACCTTGTGCTCTCCTCGTCTCCTGGCTGAACATCTGAAGTGCGCATGCGCCTGCCCCAAGATCCTTTGCGGCCGCCCGAGACTCTTCAGATGTTCAGACGGGAGCATGCAGCGAAGACACAGGTAAATTTAAACCTGCTTCAAAAGGTTTTTTTTTTTTATGCAAAAATAAGTGAGGGTTTAATAACCCTTTAAGGTGAATTGTATGTCATATACAGTAGATTATGTAATATAAGTAACCTTCTAAATGTGGATAGAATTTTACGTTCCTGACTTAACTATTTCGTTTTTATAACTCTCTGGCACTAGTATTTGTAGCCATGCTTGTCAAGTAAAGCACTCTCAATGTGTACAGTATGTGTGTATGTGTACATTTATATTAGAATTTAAAACATAATCATCTTAATAAAGATCCTGCAGTATGTCATTAAAATGTTTCTTTTTTTAAAAAAAATTCTTTATTTAGGATTTTGCATAGTTCACAAACAAATAACAGATATTTGTAAAAGATAAAATTTGTTCAATTCCACAGGGGCATGACAAGAATAACAGTTCAGTGTCACACAAGTCCGCTCATAGTAATGCGTATACAGAAGGCAACAGGTCAATAATACAGTTACAGTGGTAGTGCGCATTACCCTGCCTCACATTATGGGACACCAACGTCGATTAAGTAAGGACATCATAGGTTTTCCCTGAGGAAGGTCGCATTAGTGCTATCAGTAAGAAAGGTAACATCCCAAAAGTATTGTCAACCGCTTATGAGGTATCCTAGGCTTTTATTGAGTCGGGTGTATCCTAGGGAGAGAGAAGTCGGGGGGAGGAGAGAATGGTGGGGGTGGTGAAAGAGGGAGGGTCAAGGGTAGCAAGGCGAGAAGTCAGGGAGGGGTGCGGGAAATAATAGAGAGGGGAGGGTATATAGATCAGCTTCTTATTCCCCCACGGGTGGCGGTACATTCCCCTCATTATCTCGTCTCAGTTTGAGGTACTCTGGAGACGAGATGAATTCCATCATGGGGAACCAGGTGTGGGCGAAGGTTATGTTGGTACTTTTGATTGAGCTTGTGAGATCTTCCATTAGGTAGATGTCTTGTATGCGGTCCAAGACCTGGCCAAAAATGTTTCTTTTTCACAAATAATAAAAAGATGAATATTATCCAGTTGAATGGTTGTTTTAGTCTTTTCACAAGTTTGACATGAGATACTGTACATTTATTGTGCGTTTCTTTATCTGTGGAACAAAGTACAAATGGTATTACAGATAAATGAGAGTGAAGGACATTAGTTTTACATCAGCATGTTTACAAAAAATGTTGTTCTTGATTTAAATTTTAGTTTTTTAAGGATTATTTTTACTAACATTTTTTTCATAATCCAGTAAAATGAGGGTTAGGATCTTAAATAAAACCAGTCTTGTTTGGCTCCAAAAGTGTTCAATCATTAAAAAGGAATTATGATAAACACTAAACAAATAAATAGAATGCAAATATATACTATCTATCTATCTATCTATCTATCTATCTATCTATCTATCTATCTATCTATCTATCTATATAGCACAATACTCATCACATTTAACATACACAGTAGGAAAAGGTCTGGCAAAAAAGTCAACAGCACAGAAAGTGAGATAAATCTCACAGCGCCTCTGATAGCCGTAAAAACCTGACAGGGGGTTAAAAGCCTTCCCTGCTCTAAGCAAAACTAAGAATATATTCCTGGATGGACGTATACTTTAAGATGTATGTATAACCCAAACTTTATTTATAATTTTACATAAGGTAGCGAAGGGTGAAAACCCATGTTAGCTTATTTTTTGTTCTCTGTGTCTTATTGAGCATAGATTTGGCTTTATCTTCTGTCCTGGAGACTCAGCAGGCAGTTTGAGGAATTCTCTCTTATTGAGCAATTAGAACAGGAGTCCCATTGGAAGATCTCCCCTCACATTTTGAAAAAAAAAAATGGATTTACCATCACTTTCTGCCCCGGTTACAATTCTCTTAAGACAAATAGAGGGTAAATTACCGCAGTGGGGGACATAGTCAAAACTAAAATATGGCTAAACTTATCGTTTAAAGTGTACGTCTACTGCAGCCAAATTGAGATAACATCTATTTTATATTTGTTCTCATTCACATATCATAAGCTAAAAAAAAAAACAAAAACTGGAAGAGAAAAGGTTTACTCTTTAACTGTGAAAGGGATGCTTTACTGTGAGAGATGTAAAATTGTGGAACTCCCTTCCACAGACAGTGGTACCAGCTGAGAGTATGCAATCATTCAAGACCCATCTAGATACTTTTCTCAGAGAGCAAGATATACAGAGGTACAGGTAATCTTAGTAGCTCATACACACACACAAAAAACCACATAGGTTGAACTCAAATGTTTCTTAAACATTTAAGACAATGCAGTATGGTACTGTGAAAAAGAAGTTCACAAACCATACTATTACACTGTTATGCCACTGACCAATTTGCATAACATTGAGGGCTTTAGCTTTATTTTTTCAAGGACCGAGAGCCCGACAGTTGCTCGAGAGAGGAGGGGATCCGGCGGCATACCTTAACCCGCCGGGTGACGTCCCCTCCTCTCTCTGCCGGCATCCATCATCAAGATGGCCGCCGGCAGGTAACAGCGGGTGCACGATAACGTCACTGCGGGGTTTCACCAGGTACCCGCACCGGGTGTCACCCCGCCTCAGGACGCCTCTGGCCACTTCCA